TCGCCTGGACAGAGGAGCCTGGCGGCTGCAGTCCATGGAATCACAAAGAATCAGACACGACTGAAGAGATTAAGCAGCAGGGCCTCTATTAAGTGAAACGGGAGCCCTCACGGCGTGTCCTCACTGTCAACTAAACCCCCATGAACTGAAACAGGCCCTGAGACCCTGAGTCACCCTCTGAGGAGTGGAATGGCCACTGTGTACCACCTCTCCACCCAGGACCCTGCCCCCAGCCCGTCCCCTCCCTGCCATGCTCTTAGAAACCCAAGAATCAGGTCCCCCGCTGTAAGATGTCAGCTCTACAAGGGACCCAGGAGGCAGCTTGGCTGCAATTACAGGTGAGGAAAGGAGCCTGGAGTGGGTGGGGGCTTGTCCGAGGCCACTCTGTGCATCGGTGCTATGTCAGCAATCCAACCCATGGCTCCCCACTTGCTGAAGAGATCCCAGCCCCAGCCCCACCCCCACCCTGCACCGCCCTCGGTGAAAGGGACATTTTGTTCTTCTGGTCCAGATCCAAGGAGTCTCCAGGGGCATGGTCCGGGTCTGCTTTTGCCAAAGGTCTTTCCAGCTAAGGGGCCCTTCCAGGCTGCAGTCCTCTGCTGTCTGGCCGGGGCTGTGCCCTCCTTGGGCAGCCTTCCCACTGGGTTTCCAGGAGCGTGTGCACGTGAGGGTCCAGCCCCCGTGCCTACCCTCCTGCTGGTCATTTTGCTCCCTGGAGCTTCCTTCCCAAGCACAGATGTGGGAATACAATAAGCAACCTCTCACTGCCCCCTTCCAGGATTGCCTGTTGGAGCCAGATGCTCCTGACCGCTTTTTCTCCCTTATCTGTGGGCATCGATATAGTTCTGTAGCAGCCACTACCAGCTCGTCAGCATCAGTCCAAGGGGGAGAAGTCCACCATCAGTCCACTCTCTGGACTCCCACACATCCCCCCTCTATCTTCTTGCCCATTAGTCCATGCATTCATCCATCCACTCATCTGACAAGTTACCTCACCCACATATCCATCCATCCACCCACTGGTCTGAAGAGCCACCAGTCTCTATCTGATTGCTATTGGTCCATCCTCTCATGCATCCAACCTGTCCACCCATCCATTCATCCATCTTACACTCTCTCTCATCCACCTGTTGTTTACCCCCAAACCTCTCATTCTGTCCATTGGTCTATCCATCTATCTAATCCTCTTCCTAACTTCCCCATGTACCCACCTAGTTCACCCACCTTGCTCCCATCCCTCCATCTCCCCATCTCACTTCCCACTGCTCTGTCAACCAACTTATCAGCCTGTTTATTGGCCCTTCCACCCATTCATGCAGCATTTATAGCATGTCTTGTGTCTGGGATCAAATCCTGCCTCCACTGCCTTCCCAGCTGTGTGACCTTGGGCAAGTTACCTAGCCACTCTGTGCCTCAGTTTCCTCAGGTTTAAATCAGATGACAAAAGTGTTTACTCCATAGGGCTGCTCAGAAGAGTCAACACAGAGACAGAAATTAGAACCATGCTTGTCACTAAGCAAGAACTCAGTAAATACTATCTTAAAGCAGATGAGAAAGTGGAGGTTCAGAGAGACCCAGGAACTTCTCTGTGGCCAAGCAGCTGGGAAATATACCAGATTCTGACCCAGGTGGTCTGACTGGAGCCCTCAAATTGAATGGATATATTCAATGTGTGTTCTTGGAGGGGCTTCCTTGGTGGCTCAGACGGTAAAGAATCTCTCTGCAATTCAGGAGACCCGGGTTTGATCCTTGGGTTGGGAAGATCCTCTGGAGAAGGGACTGGCTACCCACTTCAGTATTCTTGCCTGGAAAATTCCAGGGACAGAGGAGGCTGGTGGGCTCCATGGAGTTGCAAAGAGTCAGACACGAATAAGCGACTAATGAAAGACCCAACCTCATACCATGCCTGCCCCAAGTCTGCCGTACAAGACTCTTGATTAGATTGACAAGGGTGAGGGGCTGGCCTGACTGTTCCCCAGGGTTTCCTGCTATCTCTGACACTGCAGGCTTCTCCCTGTGTGCCCCCAGTCTGGGGCATGCTGACCCAGCAGCCTGCCCTGTCTCCAGAGAGTGCTTCAGAGAGAGCAAGCGAGAGAGCACGTGTATGCACTGAACGTGTTCACATCACTCCCCAGCCACCCACGAGGTACAGATCCCAGGGCTGTCTGCATGGCCTCCCCAGGGAGGCGCCCCCGTAGGCTCTGCGCCCTCTGGTGACATGTGATGCTGGCAGGTGGAGTGGGCGGGAGGAGGGGATGAACTCCCCGCTGACTGACGGCTTTCTCTCTGGGACACGGAGTTCCGGGGGCTGCAGCCCTACCCTCAGATGGCTTTTGGCAGGCTAACTTCTCACAGACAGAGTTGGGCTTTGTGGGGCTGCTTCTGGCCTCGTGTGACCTGGTCACCCTCCTTCATTTCTCCAGGCCTCACTTTGCCCATCCATAAAACGGGGGCACTCGCTTTTACACCACGGGGATGTGGTGCACGGGACAGGAGAAGGCGCAGGGATGTGAAACACCCAGCCCCCAGCAGACTCTCCACCCTGCCGATTCCTGCCCGTCCCTGTTCCCCTTGGGAGATGGAGAGGGGCTTCTGGCCTGAGACAGGAAGTAGCACCCTTTGGAGTCTTGTCACAGTTGAGCAGAGGCAACCAGCTGGAAGCCCCGCCCCTGCGGGCTGGGGCGGGCCTCTGCAGGTGAAGATGCTCCAGGTTCCTGACAATAGGAAGGTGGCTCAGGACAGCTTGCTCTGTGACATCACGGGGCCGAGGGAGGGGATCCCCTGTTCTAGCTCAGGCTTCCGTCTCCCCTTGTTCAACCGGGTCTCTGAGGAACCCCCAGCGTGACCACCCGGTGGCTGGAATGGGTGTCTCAAAGCCTGAAGGCAGGGCATCTGCTGGGCAGGACTGGGAGCTGGGAGGCTGGAGGTGGTAGAGCCTCCCTTCCGCCGCTCTGCATCTTTGTCTGTTCACTCACTCCTCCAACAAATACCTTTGGAGCACCTACCACATGTCAAGTTCTAGGTGCCGGGGGTACAGCTGTGAGTGAGACCATACCTGCTTCCTCAGGTGTTCGGGAGCGGGCAGTCAGACTCCATTTGTCAGGAAACGCTGTGAAGGGAGGCAAGCAGACGATGGAGATGTGGGGTGTCCCAGGTGCTCGTTAGGTAGAGGCTCAGAGAAGGCCCCTTCTGGGGGAGACGTTTGACCTGGACTCTGAGGGAAGTCAGGTGGAGACCCTGGGCACTCTGGAACAAGTGCGTTCTGGGCAGAGGGCACGCGAGTGCAAAGGCCCAAGGCTGTAACCTGCTTGGCATGTTTGAGAAGAAAGCACGGGGCCAAGTGAACTTGGCGTGTGGGAGGAAGCGGATGGAGTCAGAGAGGGAAAGGTAGAGACAGGGCGGTGATTTAGAAGCTGGTTAGGTATCCTGAACTTGAAGGGCAGGGAGGAGGCCCTCCAGAGGCCCAGTCTTACCTCTCTGGGCTGGGAAGAAAGGGCATTCTTTGGGGTCACTCCTCTGAGTTCCCTGCCCCTAAAGGAAGCAAGCCATTTGGACTTAGCACACGAACAAGGACACACTCTTGAAATTTTGGGTTCAGCCCAAGAGCTTTAAAGCAGGACGAGATCATCAGGTCCAGCCCTCTTTATTCACCCAAACCCACGACGAAGATAATCTGAGGCTTGAAGAGAAGAAATGAATTTCCCCAGGACACCTGGCTGCAATATGTGCCCAAACCCCTAGGCACGCTCTTCCCACTTTGGCCCTTTTTCAAAATGATGTTTGTGAAAATTAGCCTCAATAACGATGGCTAAAAAGCCTGAGTTGGGGATGTTTTTAGCTGCCTGTAAGCCAGATAAAAGGGTCTGTTGTTGCAAAGATCCTCTTCTTGTGTATGCTATAAGCATCCATCAATTTCAGAAATTATCCAGCCTTGCTAACTAGCAATGACAGATGCTTTTTGAATTTGAGATGAAGAGGGCTTTTCTGTGTTGTGGATGGCGGTTTACTCATGTCAGACTCTTTCCTCTCCTGAGTGTGATATCCTAAATTTCAAGGAGGCAGGTACTGTTTTTCATCTCGGCAGCTCTGGCAGAATAGACACATCAACTAGCATTTACCAAAGAGGAGGTTTTTCCTCAGTAGCCATTCAGAAACCTGCAAAAATCTGATCCTCCATATAGTGGGCCTCCTCTATGCTAGGGCAACCTCTAGGCATCAGTGATACAGCAGGAGCAAAACCAGTTTTCTGACCTCATGGAATCTGCATTCTAGGGGAGACAGATAATAAAATAAACTATATATATACACACACACAAAGAGTTGTATGAAGGAAAAACTACAGAGAACGGTATTAAAGAGTGCCAGAGAGGTCATTTTGGAAAGAGTAGCTACGGAAGGCCTCTGCAAATAGATGAAATTTAAACAGAAACCTGGATGGAGTGACAGATGAAACCACCTGTGTCTGGAAAGAGTCAGTGGACAAACGAGGTACAAAAAGGCCCTGAGGTGGGCGCATACCTGGGGAGGAGGGGCAGGCTGGGGTGCAGCAGGAGGCCTGAGTGGGAACATGGCGAGGGGATAAGGCCGCGGATGCGGCTCAACCCTCAGAGGCCCTACAGAAGAGTCTGGGGTTTTGCCCAGGGAGGCAGGAGGCTTTGCTTGGTTTGTGGTCAGGGCGAAGTTTGATCTGCTGTCTTGTCCAAGTAAATACTATGTGGAGAACCTGGGGAGAGGAGGCCCCTAAGAAGGAGTGAGGTGCTTGCCACTGACTCTGGGGCTGCTGGTGGCTCAGATGAGCAGGGGGCTGGTTTCAGCGTGTGGTCAAGACAGTCCTAGGCTTGATCCCACTTCACGGAGGGCTGGCCCTGGGAGTGAGCCAGGACCGCGGGCATTGGTCCTGGTCTATCAGGCTGAGGGGCTGGAGTGGGGTGCGGCCAGCCTCCTGGAGTGATGGACAGCAGAACTTTGGGTTTTCCCGGTGGAGGAGCCAGTGCTCGGAGATGGTTCTCTGGCTGCAGCTCTGCTCTGGGCGGCCGGCTTGGCTGTGAGTGCCTCCCAGGTGCCAGTCTTAGGATGACGGGGCCCCTTATCTGTGATTCTGACCATGCTCGGGGCCCAGCTGCATCTGCCACCTAATTTTTTCCTGACCTTTCCACTTTCCATCAATTTCCCTGCCTCTTCCCTCCTGTGAAAAAGTAAATGAGGTCCTTGGAGGGGTGGCTTTTCTTCTCTTCATTTTATTCTTACCAGGTTCCCTCTTTGTACCCTGGGTTCAGCTGTTCCCTCCCCAGGTATCCCACCCTTAGAACACCCCCCCACCCCCACCCCAACTCCCTTCTGTCCTTCAGTACCCCTTCTGGAGTTGCAATGTTCCCTTTCCCTCTGTGATTATTTGATTGACGTCTATCTGTCCCCCTCAATTATGAGCTCTGTGAGGGTTGTCATTCATCTGGGGCATTTGCTGGGGGGATGGGTCACTGTCGTCTTCCCCACTCCACCAAGTCCCAATAACTCAGTATAAATGAGTCTGTTGCCTCTGGGTGTTTTCAAGTCCTGTACCCCATGAGGATCAGGACTTGACGGCCAGGGCCTGTCTTGAGATTGGATTCCTGGGGAACAAAACACTCATTTTTTTCTTTTTCTTTTTATGATGGTGGAGTTCTTTTCCTCAATTTTTTTATTGTGATATAAAATACACATAACATCAGTCATTTTAACTATTTTTAAGTATATGGTTTAGTAACGTTAGGTACATTCATCTGTTCAACCATCACCACCATCCATCACCTTGCAAAACTGACATTCTGTGCCCATGAAGCCAGAGGTCCCCTTTCCCATCCGCTTAGCCCCGGGGAACCACCATGGTGCCTTTTGTCCCTATGAATCTGACTACTTTACATACCTCTTGAAAATGGAATCATATAGCATTTGTTTTTGTGTGTATGTCTGGCTTATATCATGTAGCATAATGTCTTCAAGGGTTACCCATGTTGTAGTGTGTGTCAGAATTCTCTTCCCTGTTTTAGGCTGAATAACATTCCTCTGAATGGACAGATCACATTTTTCTTATCCATTCATCCATCAGTGGACACTTGGGTTGCTTCTACCTTTTGGCTCTTGTGAATACTGTTCCCATGATTGCAGATGTATTGATACAACTATCAAGACCCTACTTTCCACTCTTTTGGGTATATTCCCAGAAGTGGAATTGCTGGATCATATGGTAATTCTAATTTAACTTTTTTTCAAGGCACCACCATATCGTTTCCCACAGTGGCTGCACTATTTCACGTTCCCACTAACAGGGCACAAGGGCTCCATTTCCCCACATCCTTGCCAATGCTTGTAATTTTCTGTTTTTTGACAGTAAGCCATCCTAAGGGGGCTTCCCAGGTGGTGCTTGTGATAAAGAACCCGCTGGCCAATGCAGGAGACATAAAAGACTCAGGTTCAATCCCTGGGTCGGGAAGATCCCCTGGAGGAGGGCATAGCAACCCTTACCAGCATTCTTGCCTGGAGAAGCCCATGGACAGAGGAGTGGTGGGCTACAGCCCATGGGGTTGCCAAGAGTCAGACACGACTGAAGCAACTTAGCAGCAGCAGCAAGTCATCCTAATGGGTGTGAGGTGGTATCTCACCGAGGTTTTGATTTGTGTTTTCCTGGTGATCGGTGATATTGAGCATTTTCTCATCGCTTACTGGAGGTCTGTATGGTGACGATCCATTCATTCTTGAATGTTCCTTGCCAGGATGGTTACAGGGCTGCCAAGTTGAGGGGCTGCCATCAGTTGCCGATTTGTTCTGTGTGAATGTTCTTTATTAGATTCTGAGTTTCAAAGTATGTGAAGCAAAGAGCAAATTTGCAAGCAGATTCATAATAACTCTGTAACCCACTGACACCAGTTACAGGTGACGGGTTTAGGGAAGTGTTGTTTTTAGTTTTTGTTCTGAACATTCTTCAGGTTTTGAGGGGGGTGGTCTTGGTTGTTTTACAGTAAGTGAGTATAAATGACCCACAAAACTGCAGTTTTTCCGGTAGTCATGAACAGCTGTGAAAATTGGACCATAAAGAAGGTCCAAAAGAAGGACCATAAAGAGTGCCAAAGAATTGATGCTTTTGAACTGTGGTGCTGGAGAAGACTCTTGAGAGGCCCTTGGATAGCAAGGAGATCAAACCAGTCAATCCTAGAGGAAATCAACCCTGAATAGTCATTGGAAGGACTGATGCTGAAGCTGAAGCTTCAATACTTTGGCCACCTGATGTGAAGAGCCGACTCATTTGAAAGGACCCTGATGCTGGGAAAGATTGAAGGCAGGAGGAGAAGGAGTAGGCAAAGGATGAGACGGTTGGACGGCATCATCAACTCAATGGGCGCGAGTTTGAGCAAGCTCTGGGAGATGGTGAAGTCTGGGGACTAGTGTGCTGCAGTCCGTGGGGTCTCAAGAGCTGGATGCAACGGAGTGACTGAAGGGCGACAATAAGTGGCGCAGTCCCAGGCCACAAGGCCACAGCTCCTATGAGCCTGTCTTCTACCGCAGTGGCAGTGACAATGACAGCTCCCTCTGTTTTGGGGGGCTGACCCCTCCTGGCCCCTCCAGTGCCGCGGGGTGTTGATGGCTCCCAGCTGTTGCCCAGTCCTTGGGTGCTTCACCATCCCTTGTCGATTTCCCTTAGCCCTGTCTGTACCTCTCAAGAGTCTCTATTAAATTCTCCCTAAGAGCCCATTTGTAGGACCTCTGCTTCCTTCTGGAACAGCTCAGCTGATGGGCCCACCTGAGATGTGCTCAGGTCTCTCTGCCCAGCATCCTGGAGGGGTACCACCCAATTCGGGTTAGGAGAGAAAGCAGCAGCTGGCTTCCCCCACCTCCTCCCCCATAGTCTCATGCCCAGGGATCTCCTTCTCTCTGCTTTCTGAGCAGGAGTTCCAAGCCTGGGTGGTCTCGGCCACTGTGCTCCTGAGGTCACCTGGTCCCTGACCAGTTCTTCCACTGGGCCTCACATTCCTCATTTGTAAAATTTGTCATTGTTGTTTAGTTGCTAAGTTGTGTCCGACTCTTTTGCAACCCCATGGACTGTAGAACACCAGGTTCCTCTGTCCATGGGGTTCTCTAGGCAAGAGTACAGAGTGGGTTGCCATGCCCTCCTCCAGGGGATCTTCCGGATCCAGGGATCAAACATGGGTCTCCTGCATTGGCAGGCTGATTCTTTTACCACTGGGCCACCAGGGAAGCCCCCATTTATAAAATAGGGGAAAGTAAACTGCCTGCTGCAAGCAGAGTTGTCAGGGTGAGATGAGGTTGGCACAGAAACAGAGTAAGTGCCTCATCAGGGCTGGCAGATCTGCGATTACATCAAAAGTTACTGCTTGCATTTTCTGTGTGACTCCTCCAGTCCTCAAGAAAGAGGTGAAATACTTTCTGTTGATGCCCAACAAACCCATCTCTGTCACTGCAGTTCTAGAGCCCAAACCACATCCTCAAGAGGGTTGCCACAGTTGCAGCCTCCAAGAAGGTCTCCCGGTATTCACATGGTGATATTGTTTCTTCCCACATTGAGTAGCCAACTGGGTGCTGCAGAAATGATGTGTGATTTCTGAGGCTGTCATAACAAACATCTCCACGTTCCCCTTGCCCTGGTTTGGATTGATAGCTCAGTGGGAAGCTGGCTGCCATGCTGTGAGGACACTCAAGCAGCCCTGAAGAAGCCCACATGGAGAGGCCTGAGGCTTCCAGCATCAATTATGTGAGCGTGCCACCTTGGAAGTGATTCCTCCAGATCCAGTCTGGCCCTCGGACAAGGGCAGCCCTGCCTGACAACTTGACTCTGACCTCATGAGAGATGCTGAGCCAGAACCCCTCACCTGAGCTGCTCCCAGATCCCTGACCCACACAAACTGTGTGAAATATGTTTGTTGCTGTGTTAAGCCACTAGGCTTGAGGGTAATTTGTTACACAGTGATAGATGACTAATATGATCACCCGCCTTATCCTGCCAAGTTCGGCTGCCACGGCCTTTGGCTGCCGCTCAAAATCAGATCGATCCCCCAAAGAAAGAAGATTCACCTCCACAGTGGTTTTGGGAAAGAATGTCATCCAGTGTGGATTAACAGGTTGTTCTAATAGAGAGTCTGGGATTTACAATGAGAGAGTGGGGATGAGAGGGCTGTATAGGAGCAGAGAGGGAGCCGGGGGGTATGGCGGCGAGTGGAAAGAACCCAGATTTGGGTGTGGAGACCTGGGCTGTAGTCCAGTCTCTGTCGCTTGCTGGCTGCATGACCTTGACAAGTGACTCAGACTCCTGGGCCTCAGGTTCATCGCTTGCCTAATAGACTCAGCTGACAGCACAGTTGTGAGGTTGACAGTCTGTTCTTCCCACCGCAGCCAAAAGGACCTTTTAAATTGCAAATCCGATCATGCCTTCCCTTGCTTAAAACCTGTTAGTGGCTGCATTGCCTGGATAAAGGAGCAGAGCCCAGCTGGCCTGCACCCGCCTCCCCACACTCCTGTGGGGCCAACCCTGCTCATCTGCAAGGCCTCCCTCACTCTCCTTGCTCACCCTCCCTCTCCCAGTTCTAACCACACCACCTGTCTTCTGGTTTCCTGAAGATGTCATGTGGGGTTGGCCACGGGATCTGTGGCACGTGTGGGATTTTTCCACCTGGAATACGCACCCTCCCACCTGCTAACTTCTCTGGGTTCTTCAGATTTCAAAGTCACATGGTAAGCCTTCCCTGGCCACTTAGGTCCCTCTTTACGGCCCCCATGGCCACCTGGGATTGCAGATGTGATGGCTGGATGTGTGTCTGCCTCCCCACAGTCAGTGAGAGCAGGGCCCCCACCTCACTCCTGGCTGTGTGCATGCCATGAGCAGGTCGTAAGAACTTAAGTGCTTGTGGAATGAATGGATGAGCAGAGGGGACCTGTGTGGTTGTTTAGTTGCTAATTCATGCCTGACTCCTTTGAGACCCCATGGAATGTAGCCCGCCAGGCTCTTCTGTCCATGGGATTTCCCAGGCAAGAATACTGGAGTGGGTTGCCATTTCC